AGAAGTCAGTGTGACAAACAGGCCTTGATTTGGACCAAACATGGGGCTGGGTGTCCCATGCACTTTTATGTTGGGATAACTTACAGCACCTTGGACGTTCACAGAGCTCAGAGAAACTAGCTCTGAAAACGATCAGCTCGCATATGGGCAAGTAAGCCTCAGGACATCTGAGCAATATTCCCAAGCACGCACATAGACCAGGGACCTCGTCTGTTTTGTGCTGACCTCTGCCTCAGATGCATTCCCACAGCAGCATCTGTGAACAAGTTCCACAGACAACCAGCAATATTGTAAACAAGTCCTGTTGCTTAAATATTAATGCATTTTTCTTCTTAAAACAGAAACTCTCAATTAATGAAGTCTAGATGAATAAGGTTTGACTGTAAACATAATGAAAATGTGAGCAGAAGTGTTGGCCAGATCCTGGGACTGGTCAAGCTGTTTGATCTCCCCTGAATCTTGTGAGCTGTCAGCAAACACCTCTGCAGAAGAGTTTTACACAGTGAAGGAGGAGAAAAGATAAAGGGTTGCTGTAGTGACCCAGGTAAGCCTCAAGATGAAGTATTTGGGGATCTGTCTTCTGCCACTAGGGGGCATGGACTAAATCACAGACTCTCATTCCTGGGTGTAGGTGCATGCATGGCACGTGGTGTGAATGAAAGGTGGAACAACAGTGACTTTGAGGACCCCACTTCTCTACAGTTGCAATCAACCTGAAGCACTGAGCATGAGAACCATCCCCCAGTCCTGAGTCCCAGAACCTTGTGGCCCTTCCCTTCCTTCTACTCCACCATTAATATACATCAAGTCCTACGGCTGACTTCAAACACAATTTCACATTTCTTCCCCAAATATATCACTGCAGTAACAGAAAATGCACAGAAACTTGATGAATGATGGGAAAGATGCAATAAATTTCACAAGTTATTATTTTCTACATGAGGGTAAGCTTCTGAACTAGCTGCCAAGAGATCTATGAACCTCTCACCCAGAGGGCTGAGTACCCTGGGAGGACAGAGTCTCTGGGGAATGGCCCTTAGACCATCCTTCTTGGTTACTAGCCCATTACATTCCCCCTTCACTGATACCAGTTTCCTGCAAAGAGCCAGGGGCTCATAACTTTTGGGACAAGCCCCAACTGATAAATAGCTATAGTTGCAGAATCCAGAATTCCATTTGATTTGATTTTACCTTTGGCACTGTAGGCCAAAACACCAGTAAGGTGGGAGCACAGGAAAACAGATTTAATTAGCTAGTGGAGCCTAGTGCCTGGTTGGGTCACTTCTCAGAACACAGAAAACAGCCACGGTCCCACATTTTCTTTAAGATAGGATGAAACCAAAGCCTGCAGAAAATTAAGGGCTGTGGCAGCAACGTTGGATCAAAAGGTGAAGCCCAGTTACAGAATATTTACCCTTTGTGGTAACCAACCTCCAAGATGCCCCCAGTGACGCCTGGCTCTGGGTATTCACCAGGAGGTAGTCCTCTCCCATACTGAGTAGGGATGACCTGTGCAACCAGAGGGTACTGCAGGAATGATGGAGTGCGAACTTCTGTGCTAGGTCTGTACTAACAGCTTATACTCATCTGGATCATTTGTTTTGAGCAAAACTAACTGCCACATGATGAGAACTCTCCAGCAGCCCTATGGAAAGGTCCATGTGCAAGGGCTCCAGGCCTCCTGTCAACAGCCAGCACCACTGTGCCAGCCATGTGAGTGAGCTACCTTTAAGCACATTCTCCAGCCACACTCAAGCCTTCAGATGACCACAGTCCCAGCCAGCACCTTGATTACAACCTCATGAGAGACCCTGAACCAGAACCACCCAGTTAAGCTGCTTTCAAATTACTGACCTACAGAAGCTGTATGATATGGTAGATACTTATTGTTCTATGTCACTAGCTTTTGGTGTAATGTATTTTGCAGCCAATAGATTACCAATGCACCCTTCCAGGTATACTATCATGTCTGTTTCCACAGGAAACTGACTTTATCTCTGGTGGGAAGCTTTTGTCAAGGGGTCTTAAATATATGGTCTTCTCCTTTCTAGAATAACAGTTCCTCCTGATATGAGTATTCCCTGGCTGGATATTCAGAGACAAAGGCTGTCTTTCTGCTGTTCTTCTGCTATACCATCTTCAACCGTTGTGGTGAAGTAAATACACACATGTATATATGCACATATAAAATACATATACAAACATACACACACTCACACACACACACACACACACACACAGCTTTCTTTTAAACCTGAAAAATTACTCAAGCACTAGGAAAATGAACTTTTTTCCAGAAAGAACCGGATGCTCTGGATGTTCAGTACCATTTTTTCATGCTGTCTCTGAATAGACAGATGGCAGAGGGTGGGGTGGGGAAGACACAGCTGACTACTGAGAATTGATAAATATGTCTGTTCTCCTTGGCTAGTCATAAAATTCTGAGTTGGGTGAGCACCAGCCGGAGAGGAAAGCCACAGCCACAAGTCCATGCATTCCTGCGTTCATTTCAAAGTTTCAGAATGGAATTTTCCATTTTACTGTCTTTTCCCTGCCCTGGTTATCACTCTGGGTGAGGAGGAGGGTCTTTGGTGAGACAAAAACACTGAGGCTTTGTGAGCAAGATAGCATGTCTAAATTATGGCAGAGGTAGCCAGTACTTTGTGAGAGAAATATTCCCTTGCTGTGAAGATGTTCTTCTGGGAGGAACCCAGAGGATATGAGGTCCCCACCAAAGTGTAGATTAAGAACCTGCAGCTCCTTCCCCTCCAGGATGAGGCCAGGAAGAAGCTCACAGCCTGGAAGGACTTGCAGCATTTTTCTAGACTAGAGTGGGCCCTGAAGGCAGAGGAAAAGGGTAGAAAACATTCAGGATGGGGAAAAACGGAGATCAGAAAAGAGGAGAAACCAGGGAGGGAAGGACTCCCAGACGCTCATTCAGAGTGGCTCCTCTGGGCTGGAAGATGGCCGGGTGGGAAACAATGTTTATCCATGCTCTTTTTTTTTATTGGAATAAGGTTGATACACAATTTTATGTCTGTTTCAGATGTACAACGTATTGACTCAATAATTATATGTATTCTTAGACGCTTGCCATGGTCTGCGTTCTTAACTACGTGGCCATTTATTTTTATTTCTGCCAAGGGACTGTACCTGTCTGACCTTTCAAGTGTCAAGTCATACCCAAAGCATCACACAGAGAGTGAGATATTCTCCTCCTGTAGCGAGCAGGTCTTGGTGATTCCTCTCTAGGGAGGGTCAGGGCTGACTGGGACACACCTTGGGGAGACAACATTACTGTACATACCAGCACTGTGCAGGTGGGGGCCCCGTCCCACCCTCCCCTGCCCCTGGATGTCCTCCAGGACCAGGCGTGCCTCTCTGTGCATCTTCATTTATGGAACTTCCCTGGGTGAACTCATCCTCACCTATGACACCATGTACTGGTTTTGACAAATCCTGATCTGGGTTTCCAGCCCTGGCCTCTTGCCCCTGATCCATGCCTGATTTCAGCTGTGCTTCCCCCTCCCTTGGCTGTCTGACCCTCACCTTACACACATGTCTAATTCAGAACTCCACTCCACAAAGACTTCTTTTCTTCATGATCTTATTCCCATCAGTCACAGCCAGTTGGGAACCTTGGGATCATCTAAACTCTTCTCTTTCCTCGGGCCCTAAGTCCATCCTGGCAGAGGGGCCTCAGCGCTTGCCCTTTAAACTGTACCTTCCTTACGGTTGATTGACTCTTTTGTGCTTTTTGCTTCCAAAATTCTCAAACTCTCATTGTGACAGGCCTGGAGTGCTCTTTTCTTTCTTTGCTCACTTAATCCTCTCCATACTGCAAAGTTTAAAGCAAGTTCCCCCATTTCCAGAAGGCCTCGCTGACCTCTTATGACCACATTTATCTCCTTTCATGAACTTCTAGGAGGGCCTGCTGCACAGTGGCATGCAAGATGCTGAGAATGTCACAACAGCCAAGTCCCAGACTTTAGAGATCACAGTCTATTAGCCATCACACCAATTCACCACTTCTTTTTTTCTGTTTCTTAATTGTGTTTCCACAGCTAAATTCTTAAATAGCCGGGATTTGTATTAAACATCTGTTGCTCAACTCACCGTGATAGACCTCAGGGCACATAACATGTTCTTGCTAAGTATTTGCTGGTCGTTTGCAAGATTGGTGGCAGAATAAGACTAGAGGTACGTGTCAACGGCAATGTTTATGTAGGTTACAGAAATATCTTTGGTTGAGGAAAAAACACATCAAGAATTTAAAGGAACCACTGTGTGTCTGAATGGTGCTTTCCATGTTTAACCAATAATTCAATTTCACTTGACAAATTATTTGATTCAGATTTTTAAAATAATGATTGATAACCCATTCACCAAATTCTATAATCACAACAAAAGTCACATTTTAAGATTAAAGAGCTAATATAAAAATGATTTATAGCACTTTAATAACTCAAAAGTAGACATTTGGAATTCCCTAAGAGATCTTACAAGAAAGAAATAGGAACAAATTGAGAAGCACTGAATACAGATGCTTAGATAAAACCATTCTGTCCTATTAAGGACAAGAGTATTGATAGGATCCAAACACACGAGGCAGCAATGCCTTCGTCTCAGCAAGGATCCCCAGAACAAGGGGCAGACCTGGACTCAGGTGACACCGATGTGTCTTCCTAGGTGTCCCCAGGGAAAAGACTTGTGAATCAGAAGCAGAGAAGTCTCATTTCTCCAAAATGTAAAACTATTTCAGATATAAGGAAAAAGTAGGGAGATAGTTCAGTCCTTCATGCCTGAAATGAGTATAGTTTTGATTCTTTGTTCAGAGGACCTAGGATGGACCTCTGCTTACATGCACAGGTCAAGGAGTATGTGTCACTCCAGCCCAGAAGAAATCTTCATGGGCTGAACAGAAGCTCAAAAATTAAGAGTCAAAAGGTAGTCCTAGAGGCATGTTTACTGTTAAACTTGATATTTAAAAAAGTTCTTACCTGCCAGAATATGCTATCTATTGTGTTTCCAAGAAAACCATCACGACCTTCTGAAGACACCAGTTTTGGGCCAAGAATTGTCATGAATTCATCAAAATCCACCTGTCCATCCCCTGGAAGGAGAAGATACAAATATAAGTTGGAAAGTAATTGAAGCTGGCCTACTGCAACCAGTGAAATAAACATCTCCATGCTTCTCCCTTTGGCCAGACCTCAATCAATGAAGAATTGGTAACATTACTGGAAATTGTGCAACATTCTCAAAATAGCAAAAGGAACACAGGAAACTGGCAATTATTAATACTTCCAATTCACATATTCCTACTTATTTATCAGTATTTCTATCTAAATGCCCAATCAGTACCTCCCACCTAAATGGCCACACCTCACACCAGGTGCACCTCCTGGACCTCAAACTGCTCAGCTGTACCTGATGGAACTGGTGGCTTCATCCCTCTGTCTTCCTTCATCCTTGTTACCTACACACGAATTCAGTCATCAAGTCTTACAGATTTCTTGGATACCTGTGGCTGCTGCCTTGTTCATCTAATTTCTAGTACCTTTCCGAAGATGGGGTGGAAAAACACTCCCAAGAATTAATGTTGCTGGTTATAATTATGTTACTCAGAGCATGGCTTTCTGCCCTCACACACTCATGTGCAGTTCTGAATTTCCTTTCACAAAATCAGTCTGGTCATGCTTTATAAAATTCACTGGCATCATTGACAGAAAACAGGGAAACCACTTCAGGATAGCATTCAAGTCCCACTATCCCTTTCGCCACCCTTTGCTCCCCACCTTTGCACAAAATGTCCTGCTCTTTCAGAGCTCCATGCCTCTGTTCAAGCCCCCTCCACCTGGGATGTCTCCCCGCACTTGTCTACCTGGTGAATGCCATCTCCTTCTCTGAGATGGAGCTAAAATAGCATTTCTCTTTTCATTTTTTCCTGATCCTTCCTCATCTCACTAGACAGTCAGTCACACTTTCTTTTGTCTCTCCTACCAACAATGTGCATCATAGAACTTATCACCCTGTGTCTCAGTCACAGACTTGCATGCCTAACTCCCACCTGGATTGTGAACTCTGCATTGTCAGGAACCCAGTCTGAAACTCCTTTGTATATTCAACAACAGGCAGACACTCAGCATGACTTACAGAAGGAATGAGTGATGCTTTCTGCTTATTTTTTCTTTGCTTAGTTAGCATCTATTGTATCTTTCATGCTAGATACACTGACCAAAAGGTGGACTTAAGCCAACATGGACAGAGCACAGCTTCACGTACTGTCAAGCCTCAATGACTGGCCATCCAAGGGTGTGACATTCTGCATGCTTAGAACTACTTGAGAGGGTGTTTCCAACCAAGAGCTTACCACATCTGGGCCCCAGCCCATTAAGACAGCCCAGGTGTCTGCATGCAATTGTGCCACAGTGAAGACCCATTGGTTCACTTTCACAGAGCCTTCACTCATAACCTATTTCAAGAACCCAAACAGATGTCATCATTTCAGAAAACCATTCACAGTGTAAATAAAACTTCCTCAAGGATCCTGCAGGCATGACAAGTCAGGGAGAGATGGAAGGTTTAGCCACCAAATAGGGTGGGACTGTCGGGGGACTACTGAGAGGAAACTGATGTACTTTACCAGCCAACAAGACCAAGGGAGCTAAAATTTCACCTTCACTGGTCACCATAGGAAAGGTAATCCAAACAACTAGTCCCCATCTTGCCTTTCAAATCAGCAAAAACTTCTAAGAAGAATACCACTCTGTGGTGACAGACGGAGAAGAGGCGGGCTTTCTTGTGTGTTCCTGGACTAGCAGCATTTAAGATGCTATAACATGCTGGTTTCAGTAACCTGATGACTGCAGTTTTTAAGAAAAAGACAAAGCAAGGACATTACTTTAAATGTAGACCAAGATGTCTGCCCAAAGATAGTCATCCAATATTTGTGAAAGTGGAAAAATAGAAGGTGTAGGAAGAGAATGGCCCAGTCTTCCTGGCATTTGCACTGAGCTAGCTCTATGTGGCCCCAAGTCTCAGACAGACATGCTTGTTGGGTACAGGCACTAACCCTCTGCTCACCCCAAGTCACCCCCACTAGTCATGGCCGGGGCTGGATGGGAAACAAATCTCAGACTGGAATGTGCATTTTCAACACAGATGATATCACCCTCGATGAAGTGAAAAATGATTCTTATGGGACAAAATGTCTCAGATATTGCAATGGTTTGTGGCCCCCAGTGTATCCATGTTATTAACATTTCATGGGAAAATGCAGGATGTGGCAGAATAGATGCTTCTCGAAGCCAGGAGAACGGGGCTGCCTTTGAACAGTCCATCTTCCAGGTAGAAGGAGAGAGACCACCCACCTTTCCAAAACCTCCCCCAGGGTGGTGGGAGTGTGGAACTGGTGCATGTCAAGGGTCCACATGGAACTCTGGTCTAAGTCATGATGGAGTGCTCACAAAGGGCGCCCTTGGCTGAGAAAACCAACTGTAAGGCTGACAAGCAAAATACCACTTTGGAACTGGCCACAGAGAAGGCACTGGGAGGGGTGCTCAGATCCCACAGGCAGTGCTCACTGCAGCACAGGCATGCAGGGGCTGGCAGAGACTGCTACTGGAAGGAGAGGCCAGTTCACAGGAGGACTTGCTTCTAGCTAGTTAGCAAAGGAACCTCAGGCTTTTTATTGATCAAGATATGATCCCAACATGACCCCCCTTACCCCCTTTAAACTATCACTGAGCAAAGGGAGATTTTTTTCAGGTCCAGAGTTGGATAAACAATCAGGGTGGGGTCCTCTCATCTCTCTGTATCTCTCTTGGGGTTTTCTCAGCTCTGGCTCATAAGTATGCATTTACAGAGTGCATTTTCTACAGACCTTCTATAAATGCAGATTCCTCCACCTAATATGCAACTTCAGACCAGTCCTGCTAGTCATACAAGGTTCTATTTGGATTCAGACTGAGGAAATGTTTTTTTCAACAGATCACAGTTTAATGGACAAACAGAACTGGAAACACCCCAAAAGCTATTAGTGCTGCCCCCAGAAGTACAGCCCCACATCCCCACATCCATCTGTCCCAGGAAACATGAGACAAATTGCATCCCAGAGAGACATTTTTCATCAAGTCCCTTATATGGAAGCCACACCCAGGCCGAGGCAGGTCTGAGAAGCCCGATGACAATCAAAACGTCAGACATTCATGGAGCACTGGCAGCATGGCAGGCATGGCTCAAAGAAATGTCCACATACTAGTTCATTTAAATCTTCTAGCAGCCAAAACTGAGGCACAGAGAAGTGTGGTAGCTTGCAGCAGCCCACACAGGGAGCAGAGCTAGGATCCCAAACCCAGCAGCCTACCTGTGCTGTCTCTGCCTCTCAAGAGGCTGGTTCACAAACCAACGGCCTCTACCTGGAACGGTCTTTCCCCAGCTCCCAGCATCCCCTGGCAGGGAGTGAGTGCTATGGCTGCCTGGTACCTAGTGGCAAACAAATCTAAACTGCCCTCTGATCTAGCTGCTGGGCCTCAGGTCAGCCTCTAGAGGTCTTTCTTAATCCCCTGAAGTATAATAACAAGTAATAGGAAATATTTATTTAACTCTTGCTACATGCCACACATAGGCTCAGGCTTTGTGTTTGTTACCTGGTTTGATTCTACCTGGACACTATGAATAGGTTCTCCCCTTCCACATTTCACCCATGAAAACTTAGGCAAGAAGAGCTTACAAGTGACTAGATCAAGGCCACACAGCCAGTATGTGCCAGTCGGGACTCAGTGTGGACCCCTGATGTTAACCTCTGCATTGCACCTCCCCCTCGGCATCAGAGACCCCGGCATAAGTCCCAGCATAGGTCATCTTCTTAAAGTTGCAAAATATGTTTTCCTATTTGGGCATTTAGGAAAGAATTTAGTGGGAAATTGGGAGAGATGACCTTCAGGCCCTTAATGCAAATAACATTTGCCTAAAAGCCATTTGTTCCCCAAATTGCCATTTTGCCTGTAGTCAGGATCTCAGTAATTCTCCGGGAATGGTCAGTTTTCAAAGCACCCAGTCTCTCAGGTACAGCCAACCCTCCAGGCATCTGAAGCCTCTTCCACCAAGAGGAACTGGTCTAATAAATGGGCCCGTCCAGGCCTGGCAGGGAGACATCACACTGCCATTCTGGATTCGCTTGTCTGCAAAGACAAAAGTGGGCATCTTCCCAGACCTTCCACCTTTCACAGAATGCGACAGCCTCTGAAAGCAAAAACTTCAGTTGGTTAAATTGTTTTATGAGTCTTTAACAAGCAAGTTAACCGCAGAATGAAGGAATGGAATTTGCTCCTAGCAGGCCTCATTCTCCCTCCTCAAGCTCCCAAATATCACAATCCACTTAGCAAGAAGTGCAGGAGGTAACCTGCTAAGGACTGCATCTTGCTGCTTCCCACTGCTATGCAAGTTAAAGTAATGAACTTGAACTAGGGCAGGAAGCTGCAGGAGGGACAGGAAGTACAACATTCATTAAGACCAACCAGCTGAAACTTTCACAAAGGGGTAAAATAATAACAAAAATCACTGCAAAATCAAAGGAAGGAAAGGAGTATACGAAAAAAAAAAAAGATGGACTCTGGAGGATAACAAGAAGAGGTTAGGAGGAAGAAAACATGTCTGAGACTCTGTTCATCAATCAAATAAATTCCGAAAGCATACATGCACAGGACCAGGTGACAAGTGGCATATTATGGGGCAACAGAGGGATGAACATGGCACAGGCTTACCCTCTAGCAGCCTGCAGTCTGCTACCCAGGACAGAATCAAGTGGGTGCTGTGATTGGCCTAAAAGCATTGTTCAAGGCAAGAAAAGTTGGAACAAAGGATCCAATTAGGAAATTCCCCATGGTTTGGCAGTGAGCTTTTAATGGGGAGAAGGATTCGGAGAGGCTGAGAGGGAAGATGAGGTGAGCAGCCTGAGCACTGGAAGGATGGAAGGATGGAGGAAGGCTGGCAGCAGCAGCCACCCTCCCTTCACACTGGATCAAGCAAGCAAGTGTCCGAGCTGAGGAGAGACAGCACCAGCAGATTGCTTACCAAAAATCAGAACAGTGCTGGGGCTGGATGGGAGCA